CAAACAAACAAACAAACAAACAAACAAACAAACAAACAAACAAACAAACAAACAAACACATTTATTCTGAAAGCTTCATGTTTTCACTGAAGTCTATCGTTCATCCCAACATTTAGTTTTATATATTTGGTGCTGTTGTTCTGTGAACCAGTCTGCTGAAAACAAACAAACAAACAAACAAACAAACAAACAAACAAACAAACAAACAAACAAACAAACAAACACATTATTCTGAAAGCTTCATGTTTTCACTGAAGTCTAAAGTTCACCCCCAACATTTAGTTTTATATATTTGCTTCTGTTGTTCTGTGAACCAGTCTGCTGGTCTGAAAACAAACAAACAAACAAACAAACAAACAAACAAACAAACAAACAAACAAACAAACCTGGATGTTTCTGAAAGTGACAGTAAAAACAGAAACATGTTTCATTTACTGGAAACAGAAATAAAATCAAACCAAACAGAAGCTTCAGGGACGTTAGCTAGTAGCAGCTAGCCTTGTTAGCAGCTAAATGCTACACTTAGCCTCCGAGTTCTTTTAGTGGGTTTGTGCAAAAAAGTTTAAAACCATCCAGTGATTAAATACTATTAAAATAAAACTTAAAAAATTATATTATTGTAGTTCACAATCCAAAAACTCAGAGTCAGAAGACTTCATTTTATCAGACAGAAACCTTTGTGACGACCTGATCTGTGGAATGAAGACTGAAGACTCTGTTCTCAGTGAGTCCAGATGTACGGCACGCTGTGAGGGCCAAAATTAAGACTATTGCTCAACCAGTGGTTGCTACATCCTTGTAGCAGGAGACTATATTTAATCCTAAACCAGCTGTTGATCTGATTAATGATAGGCCGACACCGCTAACTGAGCAGCTGGAGCTGCAAATGAGAAGACTATTCATCTGTGTTAGCATCAGACAGGCTAGCAACTAGCATGGATAAGCTGGCATTAGCATCAGAGAGGCTAGCAACTAGCATGGATAAGCTGGCATTAGCATCAGAGAGGCTAGCAACTAGCATAGATAAGCTGGCATT